ACATAACTGCCGCTAATCTCATTTTATTAACATCATAAAAGTAGGATTTACAACACCCAGGAAAATCATATCAGATGACAAAATGGCAATACTGGTAATCATGGACTAGCCAAGTTGACACACATTTTTTGGGGAACACAGTTCAATTCATAATAGTGGGCTACCATCTTTGAGCAGGGCACTGCTGTTTCCGACTCTCCTCAGATTTCTACAGGAAAGAGATTTGGTTGCTATGCAACACATACACTGCCCTTGTTTTCTAAGACGGAGATTAGGTTTCTAATAGGACTTCAACCCATAATTTTTCCCATTCCAGTTATTGTTCCAGTTCACCCAAATTTTAAAAATTCAGGTCTGTTCTAGTGTCACTTCCTCAGCCATGACTGAACTGGGAAGAATTACTGTGGCTACACTTACCCTGAGACACCAACCTTGCTCTCATCCAACTGCTTTTTGTTATCTCCTGCACCTCAGTGTTCTTAGAAGCCAAAGCCGAGACTAGAAAGAAAACATTCATTGTTGGATTTTTTTTTTTTTTAAATTCTGTGCATGCTTTAACTTGGTGAAATAGGGTACTAATTAGGAATTGAATCATTGACTCTTTTTCAGATGGTGAGAAGGCAGATATATCTGCCAACAACTATCCAGACATAAACATCATCACTGGAGCCCTTAAACTGTATTTTAGAGACTTACCGATTCCTGTCATCACATATGATACTTATTCCAAATTCATAGAAGCAGCAAGTAAGTATTGAGAACTAAGTTCTCGTTTAGACCAAATTTTTACATAAAATGCTTTTCACCTCAAGAAAATTAAATCTCAGAACTGTTTAAATTATTGCATGAGCTGCATGCTTTGCCAAGTGAGGACACAACGGTACAGTTAATAAAAAACCAGGCAGAGTTCACCAGCTAAGTTGAGCCAGTGCCAAGCCAACTAGACTGGGCTGAAGCTGGGTGCCAGACAGTTCTGCTCTCCCTGTCATTCCTTTTATACTGGGAACCAGCATGGTTAGACCTCTTCTCTTATATGTTGACAACATGAATATGTCTGTAATGAAAAAGCAGATGTTCCTCAACGAGGACTGTATGGAGTAACTTTCATCCGTTAGAACCTCAGTACTAATTAATGAAAGTCATATTCTAAATTTTTCCCATGGATGCTGTTCAAAATTAATAATATGCCAGAAATATACTGTCAAGTCCTATATTAGGAGCCCTCACCACTGTCTTCTAGTTTAATCTTCGCATCTACCCAACCAGGCGAGTGTTATCATCCCCATTTTACAGAGGAAGAAAGCCATGCTTAGAGAGCTGAGCTCACAGGTCCAGAAATGGAGCATCCACATTAGCCTTCCCTTAGACCATGGTTGCTTAGTCAGTGGCCAGCAGTCAGCAGAGGTCACCTGGGCCCCTGCTGTCAGGAGACAGGGCCACAGTGCAGAAAGAGGGCTATGCATTGATCAGGAACAGGCAATAATGAGGAAGAGGAGATTCAGATGCTGAGATGCATAACATTGAAGTCGAATCTACTTTATTATTAAAAAAAAAACTAAAGGTTGAAAGGCTTAGTATATGCTGCTAAATATAGTCATGAGATGCCTGATGGGAGGACACAACAGCAGGCTGTGTTTAATGTGAGGTGGACGTCCCACCACCTACATAGCAGATGTTCAATGAATATGTGGTGTTTAGCCTCAAACTCTGTCTGGAATGAGGCAGGACACAGGTAAATTGATTAAATGAAATATTATCTGAAATTCCATGAATTTATTACACTTTCCCCCATCTGTTGCCAAACACACCAGTAGCTGTGGCCCTACTCCCTGGTAAGGGCATTCCTTCCTGGGTCTTGGACCAGGGCAGGGAAGGTTCTGGCAGCTGGGTACCCTCCTCCCCAGGAGGAATGGGGGAGGCTTTCTTTGAGTTGGCAGCCAGCACCTATCAGAAACCCAAAGGACAGAAGCACGCACACTTCCTTCCATTGCCCGTGTGCCTGGTATCTACTTCCTAACTGGGCTGTACACCAGGTTAACTATGCTAACACTTTAGTGAAATGTGACATTCATGCAGGCTGAGTTTGGTGCCTCATCTGCCAGTGTCTTTGCATCGCACCAGACATTCAGTTATGGAGGACTGCCAAGAAAATAGTTATTAGACAACTGCAAGATAACACTACCAAATGTGGTACAGTTTAAATTAAAGTTTGTGTTAGTGAAATTTCTGGTCAATCCAGCATTCAGAAGACAGGCAAAACATGATTTGTATGTGCCACCAGGCACTAAGCATCCTACCAGACTTCAGATTCCTGGAGGGCAAGGGCTGTGTCCAGCCCCCCAATACCTACGTAGCAGACATTCAATGAGCGTGTGATGCTCAGCCTCAAACTCTGTCTGGAATGAGGTGGGACACAGGTAAATTGATTAAATGAAATATTATCTGGAATTGCATGAATTTATTAGACGTTCCCGCATCTGTAGCCAAAGCAAACAAACACACCAACCTTCTTGTTACTTCTCTGAAAACATTAATTTGATGTTACTTCTCGTTGCTGATACTTGTTATGTGTCATTTTCACAGAAGTCCCCAATGCAGATGAGAGGTTAGAAGCGGTCCATGAAGTGCTGATGCTGCTGCCTCCTGCCCACTATGAGACACTTCGATACCTAATGATCCACCTCAAGAAGTAAGCTGACCGTTGCCTGCAAACCTTATCTCCCCCTAGAGCAGATAATGCATTAGGAAGCAAGTTGAGAGTACTATATAAACACTAAGTGTTGAGGTTTTTGTTTTTCTTATGCCTTGTAAGATGTATGGAGCCCTGTTGGAGCAGTGGTTAAGAGCTATGACTGTCAACCAAGAGGTTGGGAGTTTGAATCCACCAGCTGCTAATTGGAAACTCTATGGGGCAGTTCCTCTGTCCTATAGGGTCATTACAAATTTGAATTGACTCGACGGCAATGGGTTTTTGATTTTTATAAGATGTATAAATACTGTTGCTAGGATTCAGGGTAATCAGAAGTGGTAACATTTAGCTCTGAAGATTCTCATTTTGATTTCATTTATTGAATTTAAGAGCACAACTAATTCTTGGATAAAGTAATGTCATTTATAAGAAGCCCTGGTGGCATAGCAATTAAGCACTCAGCTAACCAGTTTGAACCACCCAGTGGCTCCACAAGAGAAAGACCTGGCAATCTGCTTCTGTAAAGATTACAGCCAAGAAAATTCTATGGACAATTCTATTCTGCAACACATGGGGTCACTCTGAATCAGAATCAACTCAACGGCATCTAACAACAACTAACAACAATTTCATTTATTAAATTTAAGAGCATAAGTAATTTTTGGATGAGTAATAGACTATGAGTATCAAACTTGGCTTTTAATTATTTGTAAATTATTTCTTTAATAATGATCAATATCCAATTGTTATAGTTTGGAAGACAAAGTACCAGTATCAGGAAAAGTGCTAACATCTCCCAGCTGAATCTTAAATGCCAATAACTTAGTATTTTTATGGTGGTAGCTTAGCTGGCCATATTGTGTGGTCAAGTACAATGCCTGACTTAATAGGGAGATGTGACAACTTTGATACTGAAGAAATGTCATCTTTCCTACCTTCTTCTTAGCTTTGCAGCATGAAAATAATGCAAGCTGAGTTTATCTTCCTAAAATAATGCAAAATAGCCAACCCTAATTTGCTCCAAGAGAATAGACACGAAGGGATGGCCTTCTGTGCAAAACCTGAACATATTTTCATTATAGTTTACTTTTCTTTGGAGAACCTACTCCCTTTTAGGTCTATTATGTACATTTTCCAACATCTGAATTTCTTAAAAGAAAAATGTGGTAGATTGTAAGTTTATTCCACTAGGAAGGTATTAAGCCAACTTTGGAGTTTGAATTTCATTCTTAAAGACTTTGCAGTTCTTATCAGGATGTTGAAATGATGATTTTTCAATTCCAACAATAATTACCACTCCAGACTTCATCCTGTGGAAGCTAGAAATAATGTACAACTGCTTTCCCATTTGGCCACATTCCAGCCACACCCTGTTCCATGATAATGACCTGGCTGTTCCTAAACTCATGACAGCCCTGTCCTACCATTAACCCTTCCCTCCTGGCACCAGCCCTGCCAGCAGACAGGGAACATGCACTCAGCTTCCCTGCTCTCCAGCATACGCACAGACAGGTAGGAAGTGATGAGAGGATTTTTTCTTTTTGACTTCCATCTAAACACCATAAACCAAACCAGCTGCCTTTGGGTCAATTCCAACTCATGGTGACACCCTGTGTTTCAGGGTGGAACTGTGCTCCATAGGATTTTCAATGGCTGTCATCTGTCGGAAGTAGATCCCCAAGACTTTCTTCTGAGGTGCCTCTGGGTGGATTCAAATTGCCAACATTTCAGTTAGTAACCAAGCACTTAACTGTCTGCGCCACCTAGAAATATGTATGCACCATGGGCCAGCTAATAATCTGCTGTCCCCTTCAAAACAAAATTCCTTAAATGGTAGTTCTATATTAATTTAGTGAGAAGTTTTGATTTTCTAATTTTGAAGATTGAGTCTACAGTAGATTCACTTAGTAATTCACAGTAATTCACTTCCACTGGCTGAAAGCAAAGTCAACAATCAAAAAAAACAAGAAAAATCACAAAACGTTTCCTACTTTTCTATAATTCTTATTCTTCAGTTTTCTTTCAGAGAAGTTCTTGAAGGGATACATACCTAATGAGTCTACAGTTCTGTCCACACATCTATATCACATCTGTGTGTGTATGTTTGTCTTGCAGGGTGACTATGAATGAAAAGGACAATCTCATGAATGCAGAAAACCTGGGCATTGTGTTTGGGCCCACCCTGATGAGGTCCCCAGAGGACAGCACCCTGACCACCCTCCATGACATGCGGTACCAAAAGCTGATTGTGCAGATTTTAATAGAGAACGAAGATGTTTTGTTTTAATCCATCAGGAAAATGAGCTGAATGGCCCCAGCCCTGTCACAGCTGATAAGGCTAAAGGAATAAAAACATCTCTTACACTTGATTTGTTTTTCAAACAAGTGACAGAATTTCTTGGACTGCAGTAGATTGCCAAGTCGGGGACTGTGTCTCATAGACACAGGCTTCCTCCACGTGAGAACAAGGGTGAGGGCAAGAAAATCCCCTCCCCTCGGGTCTTTTGCCGTGCCTCGTATGTATGTCTGTTTTGCTGAAAGGGTGATTAATAAATCTTTCTTTAACTTATTAAAAAAAATGTAAATCTTTAAAGTTCAGTCTTATCAGTAATAAAAGGGAACTTAATTCATAGAGGTACTTGATACAGTTATACATTTTTCCACTTGCAAAAAGAAGACAATTCTATGTTAAATGTTAAATGAAACCTATATTGTAAAATGTATTTTTATTTTAGCTGCAAGAATGTTATTTTATTTTAGCAAATAGAACTCAATGCAGTGCATTGATTATTACCCTGTGTACCTTGTCCTGCGTTCCTGCTGTGATGGCCCTGAAGAAGTTTACCACGAATGCAGTATTATCTTGACATACCTCTGTTGTTAGCAGTGCTTTTAAATGAAATTTCCCCTGTCACAGGCATCCCTGCTTTTGATAAGTTTTTGCTCTTAAGCACTGGCATTCTCCTGTTGTACAGTATATGTTTATAGCAATTGTAGGATGCTCTGAAACATCCACTTCTTTTCTTTCCATAAAAACTTTGTGAATTCCCAAAATAATGTTTCACAATTGGTCATAGTCTTCCCATATCGTGTGTGTGTCCTTGAACGTGCAGAATGTGGTCATTTTATGTACAATGATTTGGGGACACTGGATGGAACTGGGCCATATGAAAAGTTAGCATTTTTCCTCTTTTCTTTTTGGGCAAGCTTTCTGAGTTCGTCTGTTAATGGCAAGTCATAATTTTGCAATATATTTGTATCTATGAAAAGTGAATCTGCAGAATAATTGTTTTGTTGAGATTTTTTTTTTCATTTTTGTTTTATAAACAAGCCTATTTTTAAAAGCAAGAATTAATATGTTTGGTTCTTACCAAATTTTGTTTCTCCTTGATAAAAGCAGCTCTGTGTGCATAATAATTTAATATGATTTTATGACTATAGTTCCATTCTACTGATTATATTTATCTTAGCATGAGCTTTTCACACCAAGATTTCTATATTTTGTAACATAGGTTAAATATTTAAGACATCAAAAACTGCAAATCTAGATTGGTTTTTAAAAAAAAAAAAAAAATCCAACTGCAATGTCTTTTCCTCTGATTGTCTGAGATGACCCATGTAATTACTCACCTAGTCTTATGTTGGAGTGACCAGAAGAGAATTCCTGTGTGTGTTAAGTGGAGCTACAAGGAGGAGTGCAGTTGTTTCCTGGAAAGTCCCAGGGCTGTGGGGATAGACTCCATTGGCACCCCGGGGGTCAAACTCCTTCTACTTGGTCCTTGCTATCATTGTTCCTCCCAACTGTACAGATTTGTTTGTTGTAGCTTATGTACTTCTTGCTACTGTCAAAGAAATTATCTGGAAATGGTTTTATTTTGTGAAGTGAACAATACTTTGTAATTTTTGATGGCGTAAATGGAAGGAAAAGCATTAAATGTATTAAATTCTTCTGTCTACCATGTTGGAGTATGCGCATGAAAGTGGTCTTGGCGAGGGAGGCGCAAAAGAAGAATTTTGCAAACCTTGTTCCCAAGTAGAATTTGAAAATAGAAATTGTACCGTCCCCAAAACACGATGAGAAAACAGAAGCATCCTACAGTCCCCTGGGCACACTGCCCCATTTCCTCCAGCAGGTTCCCTCCTGAAAAGTCCAGGCTGAGATTCTAATCGTCCACCCTGAGCTTCTCGAAGAGGTGTTTTTATACCCTCACAGAGGTGTGGAGCCTGGAGCAAATCAGCCTAGGCTGATGGTAGGAGAGCAGAACAAGAGTTTGGGAACCAAAAAACCCCAATTTCAAATGCCAGCTCTGCCTACTGGCAACTTGGAGATGAGTTTGCACATCTGAAAAACTGGATAATATTCCGATTGTGATGTCTAGGTCAAATTATGATCAAAAGTAATTAGTAATAGTTATTGTTGCCATGAGTCAGAATCAACTCAGCCGCAACGTGTTTGGTTTTTTGTTTTGTTTTTTTCTCATCATTATTATTTTAAGAGTGGGCTTAGAAGGGAAAAGGATATAACATGGGTTGGGGATAGAAGAAGCATGAGAAGAGAATGATTTGTCCCAGGTTAAATTTAAATCCAAGAAATAAGGAGGGATATTATAACAGGGTTCTATAATGGTTAATGAGGGTCACTTGACTCCTTTTCCCAAATGTGATTACAACACTTGATCCCTTCTGCCTTGCTTTAGTCAGAAACCTGCTCACCCACATCTATCTCCCTCACCATCTGGCAGCCTAACGTGGCTCCTCTTACCTGCTTGAAATTCCTGCTGTTGCAATAACTCTAGTAGTTAGACTATAAAGGAGGCAGTATTATTTCCAGAAAGAAAACAAAAAGTTGCCATCGAGCCAATTCTGACTCATGGCGACCCCATGTGTGTAAGAGTAGAACTGTACTCCATGCAGTTTTCAATGACTGATTTTTCATAAGTAGATCACCAGGCCTGCCTTCCAAGAAACCCACTGTTAAATTGTCCACAAGGTGAGACAGGGGCAGGGTGGGTGGGAGAAGGCAATGTAAGGATGGGCAGAGGAGATCCCCTTTCTTTCTTCCATCAGCATAAATGGGCATTTCATATTAGCTGGCCTGGACAGTTTGGAAGACATTAGGGAACCCAGATGGTCAGTGAGAAATAATTGTATACATTTATGTAGGAGAAAGGACTCGGGAGGGAGGCTGGCACAGAATTTCAAGGATAGCAGACTGCAAGGGCAAAGGAAGAGAGAGATGAGGCCACGGGAGGGGAGCTGAGGAGAGCACCTGAAGTATTACCTGGGCTGCCCTGACTCCTACTGAAAACACAACCAGGTTAACTTATAAGTTCCCAAGATCTATCAATCCTCAAACTTTATAGTCAGTCTATTGATTTAAAAATGTAATAGTCATTAATCTTCCAGCAAATACTTATCAGGCACTTATTAATGGGCCAGATGCTGAATATGCGGAGGCAAGGAGGTGACTTATCTCTCTGGAAAAATTCAGTAGTAAGTTTAGTATGGCTGGAGGGAGGAAGCTGGTCATGTTAGGGTTTTTGGACTCTAACATAGGAGAAAGGGACCTACTGATGGATTTTTAAATAAACTTTATTTTGGAATAATTTTATATTAAACGTTGCAAAGATAGAACAGAGAGTCCCCGTATACCCCTCACTCAGTTTCCCCTAATGTTGACTTCTAACCTAGCCGCAGTACACTTGTCAACAGCTAGAAACCAACATTGGTGCATCGCTATTAACTAAACCCCCAAGTTCATTCAGATTCCACTGGTTTTTCCACAGATGTCTTTTTTTTTTTTTTTTTTTTGATGCAGGATCCCATCCAGGACACCACATTGCATTTTGCACTCATGGA